TACAAACATCAGAGAGAGAAAAAGTTGTGGAAGCAAATTTGCTAAATATCTTACATAACTATTGTAACTTTAATTATTTCTTTTTCCAGTACCAGGGATTGAACTCAGGACCTTGTGCTTGCCAGGCAGGCATGGCAGCACTGACCTACATCCCCAGCCCAAATTTTAACTATTTTTAGAAGTTTCTTAAATATATTTTTTAAAAAGCACCATAGAAAAACAGAGCAGAAAGCATAATACATGATGTCATCAATAAAACCAAATACAGTAGTTGTAAAATGAAATCTGACACTAGTTCTTCACCTTGCCTTCTGGATCTAATGGTGGTGAAGTCTTCCCAGTATCACTAGTCTGTGGGGTCCTCCCCATGCCTGCTGTACCCTTTGCCCTAACTTCTGGAAGGGGTTCCTTCATTTGTCTACTTAAACTAGCTGAAGTTTACAGATCTGTTCTCTGCCAAGACCACTTTTAATAATACATGGCAATCTTAATACCAGAATCTAAAACTCAAGGGCAACAGTGGAGCTTTTTAAAAGCATAATCAGTCCGTGGATATAAAACAATATGAAATAAAGCAAAGTTATAAGAGAAAATTTAGAGAAATAACATATCAGGAAGCTCCTAATACACCCTATAGATCTAGTAGATAAAATAATAAACAAGGACAAAAAGAACTGTACAATATAATTTATGAAGGTGAACTAAAAGATAAGCCCCAAAGTCCATATTCTACAGGAAATACATTCATTTGCCTTTTCAGCAAATATTTATCCATTCATCGCTTTCATTGTCCTTATGTTTGGAACAGTGCCTTGCATACAACACATATACAATAAACACTTGTTAATTCACAAGCTAGTGTACCTTTTCAAGGTTTAGGAGATCACTTGTGTCGACTGATCATTTCTAGGCCTCAAAGAAAGTGCAATACTACTCTCAAAGAAAAACTGCAGTTTCAAAAACCACAAATAAAATGTTAGAATTTAAAATGAAAGCCTGCAAGGTCTGTCTTGATTGGAAAAGGCCCCACTGCTTGCCGTAGGCCTTTTCCTCAGAGGGTTGCTCCAATATACTGAGTAATTGATTAAAAATACTTGCTTCATAGGACTGAAATGAAAAATAATCATAAATAACCCATCTTTATATTACATAAAATAATGGTGCCTAATTTTAAAATACTGTTCCTAAAAATAAGAGGAAGCCTGGAAGAGGTAAGGGAATGATCACAGGATAAGCCTGAGGACGTGCCATATGGGGACAGACTACATAAGAGAAGGATCCTTCAGTTCGGCAGAGTCGTGGTTGAAGGCCACACGATATCATCACAGATGACACAGATGAAGGAAATACAGATTTAGTCACTAGATTCTAAAATAAAGACTGAGACACGATTTGAAGCCAGAATGTAGTTACTTTAGAACGAACATAAGGAAGCAGAATCAGAAAACATTAAGCGCCAGGAAGGACTTAGAGACTATTTGCTTGACTTATTTTGTGTCACAAATAAAAAATAGATTTCAACAAATGATGCTAGAGAATTGGACACCTACATGCAAAAGAATGAAGTTGGACACTTTCCTTATACCATATACAAAACTAAACTCAAAGATCAAGGACCTAAATGTAAGAACTAAAACTATAAAATTCTTGGAAGAAGGGAGGGGCTGTATGACACTAAATCTGATGATGTATACCAAAAGAACAAAAGAAAAAAAATCAAGATAAATTAGACTATGTCAAAGTGAAAAGTCATGTGCATCAAACGAACACAATCAGCAGAATCCAAATGCAACCCACAGAATGGGAGAAAGTATCTTCCAATCATATATTTGATAAGGGATTAATATCCAGAATATATAAAGAATTCCTACAAGTCAATATTTTTTAAAAAACCAAGTAAACCAGTTAAAAATGGGCAAAGGACTTGAGTAGACATTTCTCCAAAGAAGTGGCTAATAAGCAGATGAAAAGATCTCACCATAACTAATCATTGGGGAAATGTAAATCAAAACCATAAGGAGAATCCACCTCACACTAAACACAGTGAATAAGTGTAGGCTAGGATGTGGAGAAACTGGAACCCTTGTGCACTGCTGGTATGAATGAAAAAATGGTGCAACTGCTATGGGAAACAATATGGCAGCTCCTCAAAAACTTAAAAATATGACCTAGAAATTCCACTTCCAGGTACATACACCCAGTGAACTGAAAGCACAGATTCAAAGAACTATTTTTTCACCCATGCTCATAGTAGCATTACTCACAACATACAAAAGGCAAAAGCAACCCAACTATCAGTGGTTAAGAGAATAAACAATATGTGGGATATATATGTAACAAAATATTATACAGTATGTATTAAAACACAAAACAATCCTGATATATGCTACAACATGGATGAACCTTCAGGGCACCATGCTAAGTGCTATACAGCCATAAAGGACAAATACTGTATGACTCCAGGTACCTAAAGTACGCAGAGCAGTCAAATTCAGAGACTGGAAGTAGAATGGTGGTGGCCAGAAACTGCAGAGAGTTACTGTTTAATTAGTATCAAATTTCAGTTTTGCCAGCTGAAGAGTTCTGTGAGCCAGTGGCACCACAACAGTGGGAATGTATCTGTGCCACTTCTGTGCACTTAAGACAGTTACAGTGGTCACTTTCATATTATAAATATTTTATGATAATTTTAAAAAAGGAATAATGGAACTCATTTCTTGTCCTTTGATCAAAACCTGCTCCTCCTTCTGACCTCCCCATTTCCAGGAGCTGTGACACTTTCCCAGCTGTCCACGGCGGACACCTGGCCTCATCCTTGGTATGGCCTTCTCTCTCCCTCAGCCCACAGGTCCTTCCACCCGTACTGTGGATTCTTCGTGGTGGACCCGCAACTGTGCTGAGGCTTCTCCTTGCAGAAGCCTTGACGCCCTCCCACCATCACATCTCTGGTCAATGTGATGCTGCAGTACATGTGTATAATGTGTAAGATCATATAGTTAATCAGCATTTCTATCACCTCAAAATCCTCTCTGTAAGCTCTTTTGAAATATTCAATTATGTTGAACCACAGTTATCCTGCTGCGCTATGCAGAACGTTATATCTCCTTTCCAACTATATTCATGTACCCCCTACCTATCCCCTCTCGACCTGCCCCACCTCATTCCCTTCCCAGACTCCAGCAACCACTGTTCTATTCTGTGTCCTCTGAGGTCAACTTTTTAGCTTTCATATGTAAGTGAAGACGTGCAGCATTTGTCTTTCTGTCAGAGCAGCTTCATTTCTCACTGCCAGCCTCGCAAGTGCAAGGATCCGAGTTCAATCCCTGGTTCCCCAAAAAAAAGCGAAAAGCTGTAATGTTCTTTCCCAGAAGTCTGTTCCATGGCTCTGCCTTCCCACGAATTAACTTGGCTTATGAAGCTCATTAGCATGTGGCTCCTCACTACTTCTACAGCCTTACGCCTGTTTTCTATGGCAGTCTACACTCTCCAGCCATTCTCAACACCTTCAGTTCTGGAACTTTCCACACTCTGGCCTCCTCACACAACTGTTCCTTCTTAGAGACCTGTGGGTTCTCTTCCATCCCACCCAGGCTCTCTTCACCCTACCAACTTTTATGACTCACTCTAGGCCCGAATTGTAAATCCCCAAGCCCAGCAAGGCTTCTCCGACCCAAGTCTGCATTAGGTCGCCTTCCTCAGTTTCCCCATGTTTCTGTCATCAAGTTCCCTGCATGCATTGAGCCTGCCTGTTCACTAGCCTGTTCTAGGTTCATCATCAGAAATTGGGGGTTCAATGAATCATGAATAAATGAACTAATAAATATGTCTGGGTCACATGACTAGCTCATTGCGGTGCCAATGGTAGAAGTAGTATTGGAACAAAAACACCAAGAACTCTCTGCTCCATGCTTTCTCGGGCTGCGTCACACCTGGGTGAATATAAAACTCACCAGCCCAGGAGGGGTTGGGACAGACCCAGAAAGAGCACAGAGAAGCCAAGGTATGCAAAAACTTCAGGCTCGACATTGTCCATGTTTTCCACGACATCTCTCTTTGGGTCTCAATCAGCTAAGACTCTTGGAATAAAAGGAAAAAGAACTGACTTGGCTATGATAATGTCCAGGTTCCATGCGGCAGAATACTAAATAAACCCAACATTGGCCAATTTCAAAACCCTTAATTCACAGCCCGTCTTTAGATTTGGCATTGATAATGGAAGTCGCAAGGCCCCTCTGTCGACTCTAACAGACAGTGAAATTCTGCTTGCTACGTTAAATCCTGGAATGAAGAAGTCCAGTATAGGCTGGAAAAAAAGTGTTTCTCACAATATACACATACACATATATATACAGATATGAATATATACACTTAGAATATAAATCTCTTAAAATAGTCAAAGCTGTCATCATGTATAAGAGTAGTGATTCAGAAGGGGAAAAATAAAATCACATCTTTTATTACACAAAATACTACAAATATACATAAATTAAAACTATAATTTCACCTCCAGTGCATGAGATATACTTAATCTCTCATATCTTACAGATTTATGTCAACATAGCTTGTCACAGAAAATGAAAATCATGTTATGTATATCGTAGGAGCATATTATTTTTCATGGTCGTATAACATGACACTACAAAAGACTCTTGCTGAAACTAGAAATTACTTTGTTGCCTTCATTCTGAATTGTGGATTTCTTGAAACAACACAAACAATGTATATATTTTGTATTGTTCCAAACATAAGAGAAGTTAAAGCTTAAAACTTAAGACTGAATAGTTAAACATAGGATTCTAATTAAATCATAATGCATTTATTATATTCCTGACAAATCTTTAACTCATTGGCAGTGGGATGAGCTTTGGTCTTAAGTAGTAAAAGTACCGCTATTCTCCAATGGCAAATAGCAAACTAGTACCCTAGTGTTTGCTAATAGTAATCAAAATTAGGATTATAAGAGGAAAATGTATGTTTAATTTATATAAAATGAGACATACAATCATAAGCTGCTTTAGCAATTGCTTTTGCTGCATTCTTCTGAATATCAGGAATTGTAGAGTTTTCTGCAAATGCTAGGAGCTTCTTAAGCCCCCCTGTCTGCCGAATCAGCAGGATACTATCCATATCTTCAAGGCAATTAGCCACCACTGAAAGTGCTTCTATGTGGAGGTCATTTAGTTCCTAGTAATAAAAACAGACACAACTTTAGAAAGCTGTTCTAAGAGAAAGTCACTCTTTGCAAATTTTACTGTAAGAAGAACTGAGATCAGTGAAAATGTAATGTAATTCTATTGTGACGGACTCTAGAAAACAGGACTTCTGTTTCTCAATGTAACATCACTGCCTAACCATCTGCCCCATTTTTGCTCATTTCTCTTATTCCAAAATGCTTTGTGGATAAAAATAATGCTTCTGAGGACATTTACATTAATGGTAGCCAGGGGGCATTGGTCATATAACCTTCCACCAAAAAAATTCTAAAACAATTTTTGAAACAGCAGAGAAAAACTGAAGGAAAATGCATTCCTCAAAATCTGCAGCTGATACAAGAAAGCTGGTAGAGTTTGTGGGTTTCTTGACGGAGGAATCTCCCAACTCCCCATGGCAGTAGGAAACTACAGCCTTGCCTAAACAGCTGGAGATCTCAGAGAGCAACCCGGAAAGTGGGAGAAGCACAGAAAAGATGACCCGCTGTCTTGACACTCCACTCAGGACTGCTCCTTGCCCAAGGAACTGATTTCACCACAGAAGTGCAACAAAGGGCCCGTACCCATGGGGTTCATGGGTCTTACCCATTCCCCACCATCCCAAAGCAGGTGGCTTGGCAGAGGGTTGGAATGGTCTTTTGAAGGCTCAGTTACAGCACCAGCCAGGTGGCAGTTCCTGTCAGGGTGGAGACAAGGTTCTCCACAAGCCTGTATGTGCACTGGGGCATGTGTGATGTATGATGCTGTTTCTCCCAAAGCTGGAATTCGGGAGTCCAAGAGCAAGGAGTGGAAATGGGAATGGCACCACTAATTTTACCCTTAATGACTCATTAGCAAAATCCTGGCTTCCTGTGCCTGCAGTCTTTATGATAAGCTGATCTAGAGCTCTGAATTCTAAAGCGAAGACTACATCCACCCAGAAATACAATGCCGTCAGGCCTCCCCATCCCTCTGAATCAAAGCAGAGAGTTACTTTGCAAAGGGAAATCAGACTGATACTCCATAAAGGAAGAAAGGAAGAATGTTGGAAAACAAGAGCTCTCTTAGTATGTCTCTTAGTACCATGCTCCGTGATTACAGTTAATGGAAATCCACAATGACTGAGGCCATGAAAAGCTCCTAGTGGTCCTGATCCTTCGGGACTGAAGGTCTGGCTCATCCCACAAGTAAAGTCCTATGACTAGTGGAGATGCTTGCTGAGAACAAAGGGAATATGGAATAGGTAGTGAAAGAAGGTAGTTGTGACTATCAACTACAACCGTGTTGACCGGTTAAAGAAATTAAGACTTTAATGATCATGAGTATTTCTTCCTTATTTTGTTATGAATACATTTGTGTGTGATATATACTTATATATAAATAATATATATGTATATATTATATATCTTTCACCTCTTACCCACTTATCACTGTACTAACTTTATACTACAAGAATTAATTTTGGTGAACTTTAGATCACTGTATTTCAGCTTCTGAAGATCAGTGAGAAGAGTAGACACCACCTGAGGACTTTGCATCCTCTTCTAGGGAAAGAGTATATTTTTGGTTGCATGTAGGATATTTGTATTATGTTAGGTGTATGTATTATTTTGACCTTGCCTTTCCTTGGAAGTTAAATATGATTTAAGAGGATATATACATACTAAATTGATAAGAAATACTTATAACAGTTAATTTTTATGTATCAACTTGGCTAGGCTACAGATTAATATTTAAATTAATAGATTTTGGATAAAACAGATTACTCTCCATAATGTGAGTGGGTCTCATCCAGTAAGTTGGAGGCCATAATAGAAAAACATTGACTTCCCGGAAACAGGAAACTCTGTCAGTAGATTGCCTTTTGGACTTGCTAAGTTTCCCAAACTGATTGAGCTAATTCCTTAATTATCCATTATATTCCTCTGAAGAACCCTCACTACTACAGAGAGCAAAAATCTGAGAATAAAGTGCCCAGACCTCTGACTGACCATTAAACCATATATATATATATGCATGGAGGCCACACCAGAGGTCCTTGAGAAGGGACAGCATTCGGTGACATCTGTTACTTTGCTGCTTTTCAAATAGGATTCCTTCCCCAAACCTGTGCAACTCAGCTGGCAGAGAGTGGAATGAAGTTTTCCTGGCCTAAGCTATCAGAGATGAGAGCCTGAAGCTAAGAGATGAGCCACAAATTTAATGCCCAGAAGCAAGGGTACCAAAAATGTGAGCCCCCAAATCTAAGTTAAGTTAAAACTCTTCTCATATCCATGGCTGATCTTAGAAACACTGGCAAGACCCCTAGAGTCAGGCTAAATAAAAACAATAGTAAATAGAAACCCTCAGAACTGAGCAGCGATACCAGCTGTTGTACCCCACAATAGAGACAGAAAGTTTTCAGCTATTGGCCTATTCAAACAAAATATTAACAATCCTCAGAAGAATACAGAAGAATTGGAATCACTAAAATGTTTTACCTGCAATGTTCATTTTGAATCAAAAATTGCTAGACACACAAAGAAACAGAGCAACATGAATCAAATTCTGGGGGTAAAAAGAGAGTCACTAAAATCCCACTCTAGACAAGGTAAGTTATTGGAATAAACAGTTAAAGACTTTAAAGCAGCTATTACAAATATGTTCAAAGAAGAAAGCTTAATAGACATGAAACTTAGAACTGAAAATTTAAGACTTGAAAAGCACAAAACTAAAAACAAAAATTCACCAGGAGTACTTAACATCAGATTAAAGATGGCAAAAGAATGAGAGCTTGAATAGACATCAAAAGAAATTAGCTAATCAAAAATTAAAGAAAAATAAACAGAACTTTAGTCTTTCAAAGTCATATCAAGCAGGACAACATAAGTATAATTGAGTCCTAGGGGGCAGAGGAGAAGGGAAAAAAATTAAATAATGAATGAAATGCCCATATTCAGTGGGAAACACTAATTTACAGATCTAAGGATGTATGGACTCCAATCAAAGCATACATATTATACTGATATGCAGAGCAAAAATGTAGAAAGCCAAAGATAAGAGAAATCTCAAAAGCAGCAGAAAAAACAAGACACCTTATGTTTGGAGAGTAGGGTTATGATTAACAGCTGACTTTCTTTCTTTCTTTTTTTGTTTCAGTGAGGTACCTGGGATTGAAACCAGCACCTTCACACATGCTAGGCAAGCACTTTACACACTGCACTAATTTCCAACCCTTCAGTGGCTGAATAATGATGTTCAGAAGAAACAGAAAGGTTCTAAATGAAAAAGATATATGTCAAAGAGGAATTTTGTGATAAACAAAAATATCTTCATAACTGTGAGAGAAAAAGGAAAATATTTTTAAATAAAGTTAAAAACTGAGATAATTTATGCCAGCATATCTGCACCATAAGAAATGCTAAATGGAGTTCTTCAGGTTGAAGGAAATGGCCCAGCTGGCACCCTGAATACACAGAAAATAATGATCAACACCAGAAATAGTAAATATATGGGTAGATACAAAAACCCCTAAATATCAATAAGTTGATAAACACTACACACACGGAAATGTAATTTTCTTTCTTAATTCCCTAAAGCACGTACAATGTAAGACTGTTCAAGACAAAAACTTATTCTGCTGCATTGTTGAGTTTATAATGCACATAGATATAAAATATATAGCAAAAATAGTATTCAGAATAGGAAAAGTAAGTAGAAATATAATGTTATAAGGCTTCAATACTTTACCTGGATTAGTTCAATATGAACTCTATGTAGACTAAGTTAAGTTTGAGTTGTGTATTGTAATCATCAGAGCAACTGCTAAGCACAAACAAATTTAACAAGAAAACCAGAAAAGAAATTAAGAGGTAGCATTAAGGGCCAGGGATTTAGCTCAGTGGTTCCAGTGCCTGCCTCACAAGCACAAGGTCCCGAGTTCAATCCCTGGTACCAAAAAAAAAAAAAAGAGGTAACATTAACATGGCAAAAGGCAGGAAGGGAAGAAGAGTAGAATAAAACAACAAATCATACAAACTGAAAATAAGTAACAAATGGCATGCCTAAATATAACCAAATCAATAAACTGTTATATGAAAATTGACTGAAAACTCTAACTCAAAAGGCAGTGTGGTGAAAAATGATACATTAATATTGTGTGTTGCATTCTCAGGCATGTTGTATCTCTAAGCCTTCTTCAAAAGTTGTTTTGTATTTGTTGGTAAATACATTTTTGCACAAATTTTTATCAAATTTAATTCCTTGTAGTTCATGGATCAGGAAGGCACTGCAAATTGAATTGCATTTATTTTGCTTTTCAGTTGTTCATTACTAGTATACAGAAATAGTCAATTTTTATGTAATGAGCACTTATCCTGTGACCTTAATGTATCTACTTATTAGGTGTAATAATCTATAGATAATAATATAATGTAAATCTGCTTAGTATGTACATATTAGTTCTACTAGGGTTTCATAGTCTCTACATTCACAGATTCCATGACTGTATGTACAGAAAATCCAGTTTTGATTCTTCTCGTCTTGTCTCTATTTTGTGCACTCCTTTTTTTCTTGACTTTGTCACCCTGATTAGAACTTTCTGGACAAGGGTGAAGTGACATAAGCAAACACCTGCATCTTTTACCTCACTGAAGCCACTTCTACTTTTTACTCTGTAATTATTTCAGTTTTTCCAACTAAAGTACATGCATCAATTCTGAAAAAATACTCTTCTTATGTATTTCCTAGCTCTGTGACTGTAGGTAAGTTACTTAACCTGTCAGCCTCATTTTTCTAACCTGTAAAATGGGATGGATAATATAATAATTACATGCTATGTACAGGGATACAATTATTATCCTTGTTCTCACTTTATAGAAAAATATCACATTCTTGAATTAGGAAGTAAATAAAAAATTTGCAAAAGTACGTGTCTACCACATACTAGATGTTTCCATCCTCCACTTTTTTGATGAAAATAGGACAGGTAAAATATCAGATAGGTGAAAATTCCACACTATATCAGACAAACCCAGGCTATTCCTATAGTTGGTCACTTTCTGCCTGGGTCACACAGGGCAAATTAAGTAACCTCTTTGATTTTAAGTTTGTATTTTAAAAGTAGGATAAAATACTACCATATATATATTGTATAGTGTTATTAGAGTTAATATCACAAATGTGAAATGCTTGACAAGATACTAGTACAGATAAGACCTACAAATCAAAGCTAGCTAGATTCACACAGCTGAGAGACACACCTGTGTCTGAACTGCTTTTATATTTTACTTTATTTTTCCAGTTCTGTACTAGTCAGCTCTGATGTTTAGTTTTTGAGGGAAAAAAATCTAGTGATTGGATAGTGTAAAACAGTATTCAGTTGCTACTTAGGGAAGCTTTAATCTCCTTTAATCTATCCCTGTCTCCTGAATTTCTAAGAGGCATAAAGAGGAGACTTTTGTCTTTAGAATTAATGTAATTTACTAAACTGTTAAAGTGGAGCAATGGATGGTTTCACTCTGGAGTTAAGCCAGTGGACACTTTCAGAAATTATCTAAATCACTTCAAGACAATTAAATGGTATTCAATAAACTCCTAGATTGGTTTTTACAGCTGGGAGATACTGGAAAAAGGTACACAGATCCTTAAACTGTGAAATTTATTCCGAAGGAGCTTAGTAGAAACTATGGAAATTCCACTTCAATATTTCTCAAAATGTGTTTGGAAAGTAAATTACTTTTCTTGCCCTATCCCAAAGAAAATCATTATAGATAAAGGTTAAAAAACTAATTCTAAATGTTTCAGAAAATCAGAAAAATAAGAGACAAAAATCTTTAAACATTTAAAATCTTCTAAGCCTGAAGCTATTTAAAAAAATTAATTTCAAATGACCTCTACAATTAGCATGATTTAATCAGACTAATAAATTTTATGTAGCAATTAACCAATTACTTCATCATACTTTGTACCATACTTAGATATACAATTTTATTTGAAAAGATTCCACAGTTCATATTTTATAACATTTAGGAGACATATGCTCTGTCACAGAGAATTGAACAATCATTGCAAATACCTTGGTATCTAGGATCTTAATAAGGTGGTCCAGTCCTTGACTGTCTCTTAGCATTGCCTGGGACTTCTTATCATTTGTAATAACACCCAACATTTTGAGAGCGAACAGCTGAATAACTGGATATTCTGATTTCAAGAGATCTAATACAGGAGGAATTGCATTTAGTTCTTGAAACGTAGTTCGGCACTGAAAATCCTAACATGGAATACAAATGGTCCCATCAGTAATTTTTAAAGCAAAATACAGTCTCAAGAATGGAGAAATTCTATATTCCAGCAAAGAACATTAAAAATTACAAATTTCCCATCTTTTATTACAGATTCCCTTCTAAAATAAGTCACAAAGATAAGAAAACTTTCTACTGACAAGATCAAAATATTCATTTTTAACTATGCAGACACTGTCAACAACAGGAAATAAACATGATCTGCGGTTTTTGCAGTATCTTTTATGTTTTTTAGGCAGCAAATTCCTATTACGCCAAATATCATTACAATAAAATCTATGCATAATAAAATTCTTTTCACACTCTGATGTACTGCTTCAAATACTATTTGATACAATGAAATAATGATATCAATTCTTACCTTCAAGGGGATTATTTATGAAATACCTGTCTGCATGCACTGCTGCTGAAAGGCTCCATGCCTGCAAATTTCAGAGGCATATCCCGATGCATGACCTTTCCTTAAGATACTAAGGGGCCATTACAGTCTAGACAATAATCGATAATTTTGTGTGGGTGTGGGGGGGAGGAGTTATTGGTTGGGCTGAGCAGTACAGAAAACAGGGTGTGAAACCCTAAAAAGCCCCCAAATTATGACTATCAATCACGATATTTTTTGCACCAAAATATGATGGATTACCTTTCTCCTCTCCATCCTTCAACTGACCTCTACCATTCGGCTTCCTTTAGACATGAAAGTTGGAGGTCGCTCTTTGTTACGGAAGGAGTTGAGTCTGCCAGGCGCTCAGAAGGTGGCCTTGTTCAGACACAGAGTCCTTGAAGCTGTAACTAGGTGGGATGTGGTCACCCTGGAGTAGGGAGGCCCTGGATGGTGTCCTTAGAAGAGCAATGTCAAGGGCAGAGGCAGAGGGCTGCAGGAGGAGAGCCACGCTTGACAGACACTGTCAGAGTTGATAAGAGGCCAGGAAGGAGTCGTGACCCTACTGACGCCTTGACTTTGAACTTGCCTCCTCGTGACTGGGACTTTCTGTCATTTTAAGCCATCCCGTTTGTGGTGCTTTGCTAATATATACATAATCTAGTGCTACTAACTAGGACGCTGTTATTAGGAACTATGGAGATCATGCTTTTCATTTCTGCTTGACTGAAAAATATATGAGGAAGTATGGCTGCAAGGAGTCTTGAAATTAAAACCCAAGTCGACTTACAGGAGCTTGAAAGCTTGCTCGGCCAGGTCCAGCCCAAGTGACCAGAGGAGGGAGGCAGGGGCCGAGCTACCTGCTTACTCTCAGGAGTGAGTGCCCCGAAAGTCAGGTTGCATGGGGTGCTAAGGGTGGGGGTTCCAGCTACTTAGCCCACCCACCTCTTCCTTCCCTCCCTCTAGCTTCCATCTGCCCTCTCCTCCCTCCCTCTCTCTCTCTCTCTCTCTCTCTCTCTCTCCATTTAACATGATGTTTTGTGTTTTCAGCTGATCTAAAGCTTATCAAACACATGTGGCTGGAACCTGAACAGGAAAGAAGCAGAGGACCTGATAAAAGCCCCAGGAAACTGATCTGCTGCGGTGGGGTGGGGTGGGGTGGGGTGGGGAGAGGGCTTCAAAGGACCAGACCGTGGGGGAGGGGAGACAGCAGCCTCCAGCCCAGAGCGAACAGTGCCCGTGAGGTAGCACCTTGCCATTGTGAACAGTGAATACTGGCCAGGATCCTCAAATCACCAGAAGTTAGTCTAATCCAAAGGGCATGCATCACACCCAATGTGCTCAGCCCCTCAGTGTCAGATCAATAGCTCCCCTCCCAGGTTCACCGTGAATCTTAGATTTCCCACTTTGCAAGAGGCACATTTTATCCAGCCTCGTCCCACACTAATCTGTACACCATTCTATTATTTTTTAAATAGAAGCACATTTCTAACTCTTCTGTGCAAGACAATTACTTGTAAAATATGAAAATTGAAATTACATTAAACTTTCATTCTTTTTTCTGAGTGATAAATACTAAATGTACTAAGAACTGATGATACAGAACTGGTGAGCTTTAAAAATCCTTCCTTTTGTGCTCTCTTCAGCAGCGCATATACTAAAAATCCTTCCTTTTCTTAATAGGAAAATAAATTTTATAATCAGGATCAAACCCAGGGTTTTATGCATGCTAGGCAACCGCTCTGCCACTGAGCTATATAAACCCAGCCATCAAAACAGCTGTTAGAAGTTAATCTTACCTGTACCAGGTTGTAAATGCATTCAATAGAATTCTTCTTCACGTCAGGATCCGGGCTACTCAGCAGTCTGAGGAGAGGCTCTAATCCACCGTGTTCAAATATTTGCACTTTACCGGTATACTCTGTGGACATGTTGGCTAGGCAAAGACTAGCAAACTCGTGGATAACTACTTCTTCTGTGCATCAAAAAATAAATAAGACAAGTCTGTTAAATGTTTATTCAAAAAACACAGCTCTGAAAATCTGGCTTACAGTTCACCTTTTCAAAAAGTCAAAATTGAGCCGTGACTTGAGATTTTAATGACAACTCACAACTGCTAGCTCTGAACTATTTTCAATATGTCATTTAATAAGATATTTAAAAAGAAACCAGTTCCATTTTTTGCAGTAGATGTAGAATACAAAGTTACCTTCCGGAGTGAGCTGGGCAATAACAGAATTCATGACATCTAACTCCCTTAGCAATTTTTTAACATCATCTACAAAGAAAGAGAACATTGTTATTTATTACCAATAATAATCGCAATGTCTATTGAACTGTTATCCCTTGAGAGATAGGTACCATCACAATTCAATTTCACAGGTACAGAAATTGAAGTACCAAACCACACAACAAATGAGTAGTGGGGTCAGATTTCCTGCCAAGGTCAGCCTGACCCTGCACAGACTCTAACCCATGCCCCTTGAATGCTGAGCTATGCTTCCTTCCAAACACCAAAAATGATAGCCTAAGGAGTACAAAATGTGACTAGAATACACAGCAGTAAAGGTGAGCTATTTTACACTACCCATTTATTATATAATAGTTGTTCTGTTCTGTTTTGATGAGAAGGTACTTATAAACTTTGACATTAATAAAACTTGTACAGAATGCAAATAAGAATTACCATAACCTATTTCCATGAACACATTTTGATTGCTTCCATTCCATTTAATTATTGAACATGGACACACCCTACTGAGGTCCCCAGTCGCGCAGAACACACACCGAATCAGCCCACTGCAGAAAGGCAGGTCTGTGCACGCCCTACCGAGGTCCTGAGTCACGCAGAAGATACCGAATCACCCCACTGCAGACAGGCAGCCACCTGATTCCACAATACAAAGATGCAGAGGACACCAGACCACCAGACCAAGGTACTGAGTCCCACTGTTCC